AGGATTGCCTTCTCCACGGCTTCGAGGATCCTCCTCCCCGTTTCTCTCTTTAGGGGTTTTTAGACCCTAAAGGCGAGAGATCAAACCTTCCGCTGCCCACTCATTTGCCCGCCAAACAGGAGGCCATTGGCGGACAGGGGGGACCACTTATTCCGGCAGTCACTCGGTCTCCAGAGACACGTTTGGACACCATTTGTGTCCATCCCCTACCGCGTTGAGGTGTGGTTGGAATTTTCCTATCGTTGGGAGAGTCCCTTACAAGGCATTTCTCTTCCCCTCCAGGTCTTTTCGGAGACGATATCCTCACAAGGCCTTAATAATATCTATCTCTGCCAATCGCATTAAATTTGCAGCAACTCCATTTTATAACATTTTCTAGCTGAAGTGTTAGTACAGCGGAAATTTCAGTAATTACGTAACCGTTTCCATTAATTCGAGAAAAGACGTGTTGTACGACGCCATTAGTTTTTTGATGTTATCCTGGCCACTCTGGTTATCTCTGATTTCTTAGAACTCTGAGGCTGACTGAATTGGATCGATTCGCTATGACAAATCAGTGTCACATCTGTAAAGTAAGATGTATATAAATTGATTAACCAATCTTTCGAAGATCATCCACTTAAATGTAGGAGTCTGAAAGTGAAAATGATAACATTTTGTGACATATCAACATGTATCAGAACAATCAACATGTGTCTATTTATTCTTCGGCTTTCTGTACAGTATAAAATGTCAAAATATGTCAAAAATTGCAGTAAAAACGTAATAATTATGCAAAAATGGGCATTAAAATGAGTGAAATTATATAAAAACAGTATTTAACGAATCAAAATAGCTACTAAAATAAATAGAAATTACGTTTAAATTAAATTACATCATGAGATGTAGCAAAACCAATTTTATGTTTATTTACCAAAACAAATAAAATAATAAAAAGATTTGTGGCAATATTTTATTATTTATATTAACAAAGACTTTCAAGATTTTCTAGATTAAAACTATGTGATTTGTGAGGTTGTTTTTGTAAACTGTAAACTACGTGATGAATCACTTTGGAGTATACTTCGTTTTGTGCTGTTGAACAATCTTATTTCAACTGATCGCGAGTTCGAGGCAAAATGAGAAAGATACGGTAGATAAGTAGCGACTGATTCTTCAAAATCGATGTTCGAAGAATATGATTTGAGGAGGTTTCTCTTTAAGTAAAGTAGAAAATAGGGCGGTAATAAAAGGCGTAGTTCGTTTATATCATTTCTCAATTATGTTCATTTCTCAATATTAGTTATAAGCCGTTCCTTTGCAACACAGGGTGAAGCATTCAAGGTGATAAAAACAAAAGAAATTAATTCAAGAGAAGTCGTAATCTGAATAACTTAATATTCACTATTAAAAGATTTTACCTAAAGATAGAAGGAACAAGGCAAATGAGGAAAATAATGTCCTTGAAATTCGCAATTTTGTGCATTATTGATAGTAAAATATGCAACAAAATCGAGCATAACCCTGATATGCAATTTTATAAGGCGTAGCTCAAATACGCAAAAATATGCTAAATAAAGCTTCGAAATAAGCATCTAGGGACTCTCATTCTGAAAGAAAACCGAACTCTGTAGTCGGGACTTCTAGAACTAACACAAAGCGGATGGAATATGCAATTGTATAAAAATCCGATCCCTACTCACAACTAGGGTGGATCAGTAGCGCGACGAAATGAGTGCGGGCCCGCCCGAAAAACATTTACCCGGGTTCCTTGCATATAGTAAAGACAGGGAGTGTAAGTACCTTAAATAATAAAAATAGGCCCTTTTACCTGGACCCGATCGTTATGCCATTGAGGCTGATTTTGATAACCTAAAACCTCGCCAAATATTATCAATAAAATGCGCTGAAAATGTTTTAAAAATGCCCTAGAAGCAAAGAAAAATTAGGTAAAAATGTTATCAAAACCAGTTCAGGTGAACAACTAAAGCTTTTGGATATGTTTCTGAGGCTTTTTCCTTTCGTTCAAGTGAACGTTTGGTTTGGACTGTTCTTTACCTGTCTTCAGTTATCCTGAAATTTGCATAACCGATAATGACGCTGATAGGCGTCACAGGAAACTTAGATTACATACTCACTAAGGTTGACATTACTATTTCTGAGCGAAAAAAAATCGAATAGGCTGCTCAAGAATTCTACTACAAGTTCCTAAAGCAATATCGATGTTAAATGAAATAAAAGAACGACCAACGTATGCTCTCTTCTGCATCCGGTGCTCTCCCATGTAGTGCACTACATCAGGATCTTAAACTCTTTTATTATACTTCGATTTAAACATGAATCCGTTGACGTATAGCAACCGTTACGGTGGCATCCAATCGGATGGCTCCTACAGTAGTGACATTTAAACTCCCGATTGTATGACACAGTAACTGATCAAACGTCAACGGACTCTGTAAATAAATTGAAGATACATTTTTTCTTTGGTCCTATGCTTCAACATAGAGCCTTAGTTGTTTTCGTACGACAATCAACCACCAGAAGCGCACAAGGATTTTGTGGGCAGTGGCGAAGGGGGATCTGGTGACCGCGCGGACCAGCGTCCGAGGGGAATACCATCTTTCTGTGTTTCTCAGATGGATTTCACGTTACTGAGTGTCCGCAAGTTCAGTCAATTCTTCATGGTATTGATTGCATTATTTATGCTTGGATAATTTATATTCATTTGATGTTACGTTCGTTGACCCGACAGCAGTGACACACTGCGAGCGTCGATGGGCAAACGAGTGTGGAAAGATATTTTATTTTTACACGGTGTAAAATATTTCACCAAGGTGGTGAAAATTTCGAAATAATAGTTATTTAGCTCAAAGGACGTTATAAGGGATCTAATAATCGAGCGACTACAGAAAACCCGATGACTTTTTGTCACCCAAGATCATTAGAACAGCTTGGTGTAATGTATCAGTAAGAGTAAAATAAAATTATTTCGTGGTCATCACCTCTAGTAACAGCAATAACAACCAAGGTCATAAAGTGAACTTGTGTAAAACGTGTCCTAAAAATGGTGCTTGTTGCAAAGTACTCTTGCAAAGATCAACATATTTTCAGAACCAAGTTCATTTTCGTGTTGTGTGAATTTTAAGAAATTGACTGTTGTTTTAGGGTCAGCATGACTTTAGGAATGTAGTCTCTCGCGAAAGCTAAAAATAATTGTAAACAAATTAAAAGAAATTCCTCCGAAGTTATGTCCGAATAAATTTCTACATATTACTGTAAAATAAAATTCTTCCAAAAAACATAAACATAAAATTAATAAACCTAAACTTATCAGAGGTGGAACGATGTCAAATCGATCATATTGAATGAGGTGTTAAGTAAGAACTTTTGATCAGCTGGCACGCGGTTATCCAATCGGGAGCATCAATGTCAAATATTATGTCATAACGAAGCTCCCGACTGCGTAACCATGTCCAGCTGGCCGCTGTCAGTCGCCCTACATTTTAATCGGAGCACAGGCTCGCGTGGCGAGAGGGCGCGGCCGGGCAGGCAAGGGAGAAGGAAGAGGCGCCAAGAAAGAAAGTGACCCTGAAGCGTCACTCAGGGGGAGCCACAGCTCCCGCCATCGGCTAAACGCGCAGGCACCACGCCCCGCCCTGCCGCGGTTCACGCCTGCGATAGCGGGGAGGCCAAGTGGAATGGGAGACACGCGACCCGATACCAAGTTGCGTGCGGCGAGTCTCTCGTCATTCAGAACTTGCTTCTTGTTTTCCTTTTTCTCCAACAGGTTGCAAAAGTTTTTGTAACTCCTTTGCGTAAAAAAGAAATTGAAAACCTATCAGCGTAGCAATACATATTGCACTTCCCATTGAAAAGTGACATAACTCAAAATCGCAAACTTTTCAGTACAGGTAAAAAATTTGACCAAGAATGTGATTACCATCACAATAATACGTATAAAAGTTGATCGATTTTTTCTGTGATATTCTTTTATTTACTTAATTTGATCAATTTCATTTTGCGAATTCAAATTTATTTTGTTTATTGTTAGTTTTCATTCAAAGACGCCAATTTTAAGAATGTGTCAGTTTTCTATGTGACGTACAATATTATTTGTCTGATATTTTTTAAATTAATAAAATAAGGTCTGGTCAAGAACCTGTATCGTAATGAAATCTGTATCGTAATCTGTATCATATATAGTGTATCTGTATCATATACAATGGGTTGCAGCCATCAAATGATAGAATTATACAATGGGGAGTAAAAAAATCAAGTTTGAGGCAGCTTCCATGAAACTATGTGCCAGTTGGTACTTAACACCCCATTAAATATGATCGATCTGACAATGTTGATGCAGCTCTTATTACATTTAAGCTCAGTAATTTTATCTTTATCGCTCCTTTTAAGAATTTTATTTTATAGTAACATACATTAAAATCATTCGGACACCACGTCCAGCAACCGACTCTCTGCCTCTTTACAATGGTATTTAATCTACGAACATGTACGTTTTCGCGAGATAATGCGTTCCTAAAGCCTCTATTGTGACACTGAAACAAGAGTTTTAAAAAAATGTTGCTTACTTGGAACTTCATAACTTGTAAGTGGCTGAATTAGCTCAGGGCAACAATTGCACTCTGAGCAGAACACAAAGAGATTGCATTGATATCTTACGCAAAAATATCAGAATTTAAGGTTGTTTTGGAATAATCTTATGATTCAAATTCCCCCATTGTTCATGAGGTCATCTAGGGGAAGATCGAGTCGATCATTTCATCATACATTTTTGTTTTGTAGCGTACATAGTAGTACATCGCCGTCGGTGGCTCGGCTAGTGTGCTCGGTTTCCACCACGCAACGATGGGTTCGACTCCTGGCGAGGGCAAAATAATAACTGTGTGCGTTCCTTACAAATGTCCCAGTATCTATTGCTGGATGACAATGAGAAAGCCCACCCTAAGATTAAGAAGACCAGTACGTATATACGGTGTAGGGATGTCTTCGTGGTAACCACACGAAACTCTTATTCCACGGCCGTGAGGCTGGGTCACCGCTGGTCGGCGAAGGCCCGTAGCGGGCTGGCGAGTCATAGGACAAAATATATAATATACAATTTTTTTTAATAATAACATAATGCTAACAAATATTTAAATAAAGTTTGCCAAAGAAAGGAAGGTCTAGACCCTGGGCCCCCTAATCTGGCTGTGAGGTCATCGTCTGTGTCGCCGTTGACGCCCTTTCCTCAGGTCAATGTACGAGTAACTTTAAGGAAATCCGCACGCGATCTATTTTCTCACCTTGCGGGTTGAACTGGAAATTCTCTGCTCGCAAATGCCGTGCACGCTAGAAATAAATCAGCGGGAGGCACTGCGGGCACCAGCATTCGCCCCTCGGATTGGCCTTGCAATCAAACTACAGAAGGCAAGTATGTCGACGACTACGCGGGGCGGCTCTAATTGTTCGCGCGACCACCTCATTCTTCAAGTAGGACAGTAAAGAAACGGAGATTTGAAATTTATGTGAATGCTTGACTTAGAGATATGCAATGATTCTGAGTCGAGACAACGGAAGGGAACAGAGCTCGTAAATATTCTCTTCATTCGCGAAGAAATCAGTGTGTGGATTGGATCATTAATTGGTTTAAATCATTAATATGGTGTTATAATATATATATATATATATATATATAAATATATAATATATACATATACATATACACCACTTTTTTGTGATAATAGAACAACGGAGTATGTGCTAATGTATGAGTTAATGTCTAGGTTCTCTTGACAAAATTAACACTTTGTAATAGACGAGAAATTAAAAATCTGTACGACGTGTTTTAAAAGTAGTTGTTACAAAAGGATACGGTCAAACTCGTTCGTTTCAATGCCCATGGCACATTGATTGAAATTGTTTCGTGTTTGCGGGCACGTCAACTGCTACGGTCATTAGTCCCGTAGGCGCTGTTCAAGTTTTTTTCCCTCGGGAGCTGGCGGTTTTCTTCCCCCTCTGGAAGGCGAGTACCGGCGGCCACCTACCCGTCTATCGCGGGATTTTCCCCAACAAGACATCTTCCATCAGCGGAACACCGCCCCAGCCGGGACACGTTCTATGTTCCCGTCTGGACTCTCGGTGTATGCCTTAGTGCAATGCGAGTCTGTGTGAGAGGTGAGGATAGGACAAGGAAGCGGAAGGAAAGGTCGCGTGTCGTCCAAGACCCGTTTGTTACTCGTACATACTGCTCCGGCATTTGTCTGGAGTTGATCAGAGAAACCACTAAAAACTACCAATCATAGCAGCCGGTCGCTTGAAGTCTCCTCCAGACAGCAGACTATCTCCACCTAGCTATCTAGCTAGACGAGCCGCTTAAGCCGGTCCTTGGTTCATTATCATAAATGGTTGAGAGAAAGTAATGTGATATAGAAATAATTTGGCTAGACAAGTTTTTGTCAATTACAACCAAAAATTCTTAGACCAGTAATTCTTTGACAGAAAAGAGAATAATTCAAAACTAGATGTGAAAAAACAGCACACACTTTCTCGCATTATTTATAACTTTTGCAATTTACGAAAATTTAGAGTGCTCAGTGAAAATCGTACATGCGCCATTTTTATTACCGCACTTTGCTCTATTCGAGAAAAAAGAAAGAACAACTTTGGACATGGTTTTTAGAAAATAATTTTTGAAACATTGCCTATATTTTACGCCAAAACTACTCATATTTTCAAAAGTTGTACCTGACTTTATTTAAAAGTACTGTCTATGAGGAACAGATTTTATTAAGAACCGGGAGAGATGGCTCAGGGTGGCAGAACTTTGAACACCAGCTTATTAGCTAGTTCGAATTCAGTCGCTGTCTGTAGGAGATGTCTAGCGGCCGACTGCTCTGATCGGTAGTTTTCATTGGTTTCTCTGATCAACACCAGGCGAATGCCGGAGTAGTACTCTAACAAACGGGCCATGGACCACGCGCAATCTCACCTTCCTCTTCCTTGTCTTATCCTCATTCCTTACAGACACACACACTTACACTAACATGCACTACACTACCACATATGCCGGAATACCGGTCAGGAGCTTAGAGCTTGACCCAGCTGGGGCGGTGCCCCGCTGGTGGGAGATACCTGGTTGGGGAAAACCCCGCTAGCCGACGGTAGGTCGGGGCCAGATCTCGCCTTACAGCGGGGGTAAGACCGCCGCCACCTCCCGAGCAAAAAACATGCATTACACTTACTGGAGTAATGACCCTGGTAGTTGACGTGCCTAAAATCATTAAACAATCAATCAAGAAAAAAATGATATCTTGAATAATGTAAATGTAAGACGCCGTACACATTGATCTTTTTCAATAAAAAAATGAAGAGTTCAATGAAAATGAGAAATGCGCCCTTTTGTAATCGTTGTTTGCCCTCTCTTAAAAAATGTTTCCATTAAAAGAATGTTAAGGACTGGTGTAAAGTACCTCCCAAATTCAAAATAACCAGTTTCAATTCAGGAAGCATTGAGTTTGATAACATAAATCCAGGAATATTGGAGAAAATAGCCTGAACGGTTTAGTTAGGCGCTAGCATTGACAACACAGACGTTTTATCGTCACCAGTTTTTCGGTAGCAGCGACCCACAAAACGTGGATTCTAACAACACTGCGCCTTGGAGGAAGTAATTTACTACGTATTGGAACAAGTTTCATAAACACTTTCTCATAAACATAGCCTAAGATAATACACTTGTAAGTTTCATAAATTCGTGCTAAAAATAATGTACGCAACTCGTGCAAGTAGTCTTCGGTGAACTCATTTCATAAGAACATTTCATTGACAAAATGACTCACTTCCTGCACTAGTTCTTGAATTGACGATTGTTACAAAATTTGAGGTAGTTTAATATGCAAGAATATGCCCCAGGAATTTGTATTTTATTACGAATAATGATTTAATTTGTATACTAGGGTTTTTTCATAAATATTTTTCAAATTTAGTGAGATAACCTGTGACGAATGCTAAAATCCGTGGGCGATCTCGGAAAACGAAGACGAATGATTACCGTGGTCTAGACGTCCTACTAAGCTACTCGAAATTGTGCGCTCTTCGGGTCTGAGCACAAACCGCGATGTTTGGGTCCCGCAGTCGGCGGCGCGGCCCCCCTCGCTTCCCGTGGTCTTGGAGCGTCTGTGCATCGCTCCGCACCGGCCGGCGCCGCCGCCATCGATTCCCACGTGACCGTGAGTCATCCGGCGGCGGCGGCGGCGGCGTGGCGGCAAGCGCCATTCCGTTCTCCGCGGCCGCTGCAAGAGGTGCGTTAGGTTCCACGCCGAAAGCATTCGGAAGGTGAAGCCACCGGGTATTTGGAGTGGGTGAGTCACGCGTTTGACGCGTCCAGTACGTGGTGGATGCATCATAGCGCTTGACGCTGACGAGATAACGTGACACCGGATCGAGATAAGATACGTTCAGTAGGTACAACTGTAGGCTTTACCTGTTCGGATCCTTCACTGTTCGAGCCTGTGGCTATCTGTCGGTATTACTGAGTGCTGCTTGGACGAAGTGTTTCGTGGAGGAAAACCTAGCGATCGTACGCGAATCATTGATCCCGTCTTCTCGTCTGTGGTGAGTGGAGAAAGTCAAGAAAATCGATGACTCTGGGATTGGATTATTATTTGATTTAAATAGTTTTTAGAAAACCACATTTTTGTGATAATAGAACAACGAAGTATGTGCCAATGTACGAGTTAAGTTTTAGGTTATCTTGGAAAAATGAACAATATCTAATAGACGAGTAAATTTAAAATATGTACGACGTGTGATTGTGCTGTGAGGCAAGTGAAAACGGCCGCTGAAATTACACTGTAATGGCCTATTCAAATATTATTTGGATAGGGGTTTCGCCAAAATGAATTTCTGTGAGGGAAATCAGTAGAAATTAAAGAAAAGGGAATATGAGCAAAATGTTTTTGTAAAATGAAGTTCAAAAAATTATTGTAATCGTAAATAAAGCGAATATATACTATTGACATCCCGAACACGGGAGGGGGCGGTTTATACGATCGTCGAATTTGTACTTTGGCCACCGTATCTCTTTTGTTTATATGAATAGTTAATACCGTATTTATCTCCCACATTTTCATTTCGACACTTATCCCATAACATGATACGTCTATGTGAAATTCGATAGCGACATGACGAGTGAGAGATCGCGTAACCCGTTCGCAAACGCTGCTGTTACTGGCAATGTGGTATAAGTAATGTTCAACGGACATAAAAGGAAACTGGTCATCATAATGTGCAATTTATATTAGACAACAATGTACCCGTTTTGTGTCATGGCTATTTGTTCCACGAATAGGAAGGCCTAAGAAAAAGGTGGCAACACGAATTTGTTACTGAAATGGGTAACTTAAGGGACCGCATATCTATAGCTAGACAGGGTAAAGTGGAAAGAAATGACAACGGAAACTAGAAAGAACAACTTTGTATGTATGTATGTATGCACTGTGTGTGTAAATAAGTGTACATAATCCATTTTAAGATTGTACACACTGCTGGTTGTGTATATTTCGCGAATGTTCATTCCCGCCCGAGATATGGCATAATATTCTGGGGAAATACATCTTAAAGTTCCCAGACTTTTAGATTACAAAAACGAATTGTACGAATAATAAGTAAATCCAAACTTGTGATCCTTAAAACCCTGTTTATTCATCTAGGTATTTTACCATTACCTTGTCTCTTCATATATGAATCAGTGGTTTTTGTCAAAAATGATTACTTAAAGGCGGAATATCTTTTCAGCAACGCCGTTGTCTGTAACTACAAACCTAAACGTAGTAATCATATTCAGCAGGTGACAGTATTAAAGCTCACTAACAAAAAATCACATATAATACATGTATATTATTTTACAACACCTTGCCAGATGACATTAAACGATTTAAATTCGATACAAAAATTTAAGTCTCAGTAAAATCTTTTCTGCTGCTCAAATGTTTCTATACAATTAAGAGACTATACCGAGCATCCAAAGGGAAAGTAATATTAATTTTAACATGACATTGAATGTATTTATACCATTTGGAATTGTATAATTGTAAAGAATCTGTAATAAGTACTGTACTTCAGCTTCTGAGTCAAGGACCCCCATCTCGATCAGTTTTCGTCCAGTTTCCGATCCTCGAGCAAATGCTGAGATGGGCCTTGTTTTGCTTCTGGACATGAAATGTAACTTCAATTAACTTCTCCCCATAGCAAGTCACACAGTGTTTTTCACTGTGTTTTGACATAGATAATAAAATATTAGTCGAGTGTGAAACATGCTAATGTAGTCTAGCAAACTTACTGTTCACAATCAAAATAGTGCTAAGGGAAAACTCGCAGGTTTTGTTGTAAGAACTAGTTTTCTATATCTTTATAACAGAATTGATAAACAGGTAAAAATTTAACTTCGCGCAGTTTTAGCTCCACGTGGTAAGCTTCTTTTGTGAGCTACGCCCCCCCCCGCAGAGAGTGGGATGCTTTTGCCTGGATAGGGATGCTATTGTGTTTATAATAATTGTTTGAAATATGGATGTAAATAAACGCAATTCAGTAAAGAAATATTCAAATTTTTACGATAAATTTGATAAAGTATATACATAATGATAATGGTGATGTTGAAACGATACAAGTACCGTAAGTCAACGATGTTATTATGGAAGTTCATATGTCATCGTGTATCTGAAACTTATCATAGGAGATACAAGTTTTCGATGACTATTGGGGCGTTGCATACAGATCATGTTCGTGCCGTTCGTACTTGAACTTCGTGGTTCTCCAACAACCCATTATTTCTCGTATTATTGGTAATTAAGTTTTAATATTAAAATTTTGCAACTTCAGTCCTATACTAGGATTTATTTAACCGTGCATTTGAAGTAAATCAGCTGTTGCTGTTTCATCCAGTCGGGAGCTTATATGTCATACAGTGATGCATTATGGGGACGTTCAAGCTTTCGATTGGATAAAACCGTGAACAGGTAATTTAATTCAATTGCACGGTTAAAAAAACTATCCAAACGAAGCGGGTGAGTTTCGAGCCTCTTCGGTAGCCAGAACAGTTGCTGTTTCCTACGCATCTAATGAACTTTAAATATGATAAATCATAACAGTAACATTATTCTCAGAACTTTACACTCAGGATTCTTCCCAGCACACGCAGACAATTAAGGATTTTCGTACAAACGTTCCTTGATTACTTAAAAAAATGGGGCTCTCAACTTTTAAAATATTCTACTATAATAATCATTCACTTTTCAAATTAGAGGTAAATTTAGAGGTAGTAAATTAAGAAGTTAAAGGACTAAATTATACTCTCAAACCTGAAATTCCATCCACTGTACAGAATTACGAATTTATGTTACAAATATATCGACTTTTGTCATTTAAATGTGGAACATTGTAAAAAGCATGAAAATACAACTTTAAAAGGAAGTGCATCGGCACACATTCAGTTAGAACTGCTGCAAGATGACACTTTCTCATTCGCGTTAGGGCCGAATTCATAGTTGTCTCTTACACTGTGTGTTCCCTTAAGTGGACGAAACGTATTCATAAACAGCCCTTGAGTGAAGTCTTGTGAAGTGAGCACTCAGCAAGGCAGCCTGCTCCTTTAAGTGTCCCTTATGGCTCTGACGCATCGTCAGTCGTAACCAGTTTAGGTTATACTTTTATGCGGCGTTCACCGACTATTGAATTCGTTTTGCTTGTGTTTGTATGGTGTAGGCAGTTAAAATCTATAATTTGTGAAACATGTTATGGAAAACGACTTCAATAATTATTTTGAGGTTTGTACTCAACACATCCTGCGAAATTCTGCGAGATGTATTAGAATGATACGAGCAACCCATCGGAAATGTACTAGAATGATGATTGGAAATGAAATAGAATGATGAACAATTCCGAAAACGGTTTCGTTTCAATAAAACTACTGTAGTGGGTACACTTGTGCCGATGATCGACAAAAGTCCCAATGACTGAACGAGGATTGCAGATTTCCCCCTTAATAAAAGTTCTCGTTGCATTAAAATGTTATGCAACTACATCCTGTCACGAATGTTTCCAAAATTTTTAACTTTTATTCATTTCTGATTTATAAGACCTATTATAAGTAATTATGAATTTCGCAATATGAATTTAAATTGTTGTAAAATGAAATTTATGTTAATGCTATGAGGGGTGGACATTTTCAATTACATGAAATGTTAATAATCCATTACCAATATTGGCAGACTTACGTTCATACCATGTTATCACACCACCACCTTATGTTTATTAGTTATACTAGAGCATAAGTTAACGTTGAGGAATCAATTGAAACTGATGTTAAGTATTATATTACAATCCAATAATGCACATAAATAATGTGTAGAAAATGCAGAAGACATTGCAGAGATTCATTAAATTGTTGATACGAGGTTCGTGGATTATATTTTTTACCAAACATTTCTTATTATTGGGGATTTGTAATAAATACATTATTTAAATATTAACATCGTACCAGTGACAGTCATTGAAGTTATATGAGAATCATAGATTAAATTATTACAATCTGCTTGTTATTAGTGATTGGTAGTTATCACATTAGTAAAAGATACCAATATCAAAACGATTCGCTTTGTCTGTATGAGGACATATTAGAGGTAGTAGAAGTATTTCGTTGTGCGTGCGACGTCAACTCTACGTTAAATTGGACGCCCTGTGTACAGGATGAAGTGCGTATGTAAACTCGGTTGCCAAGAACTTCAAAACAATTGCCGTCTATGCCATGTTGCCACATTTCCTTTCCGCTTAAGAGAACACTCATTCCGCGGTCGTAAGGAACGTCTATGAATTACGAGCGCCTATAAGTGAACACTTATTTTGAGAAAGCACTTATCACTTATGGGTTCGCTTATCCTACAAGTGACGACTATAGTTTCCTATTTGTTTTTGTCGGCTATCTTTTCGCTTTTGCCTCATTCCCTTCCCAGCTGCCATATGAGTAAGAAGCCTGAATATATCGCGAAAACTGTAATCAAATTCGCGTTTTTTTCGCTTTACTTATTTCAGAAGTAGGTGATAATTAAAAATCGAGTATTTAAATTTTTATTGTATTTTTAATTTAAAAGAGGGCAGATGTATAAAGTAGTAATAAATGACAAGCGTTGTTATTCTTTTATTTTTAAATATATGCATACTACCGTAAATGAATATTACTCTTTATCGCAATTACTTTTTGAATAATATAATACAACAAGTCTCAATAGAATCATCTTCGGACTCATACCTGGATCATATTTTCAAATCCATTCACGATCTGAAGTTGATCAACCTTCTCTATCGTGATGCTGGCTTTGAGAAAAATTTTAGAATCTTTAACGGAAGAAGGAAATCTTTAACGAATTCCAATATTCCCTGTTTTCGCTCCCGGACCAAAGTTCTAATGATGCTTAGTGTTTAGGTGCTTCAGAACTATTTAATTCACGTTTCAAATGCTCCTAGCGCCCGTTTTAATAACGAGCCTCTTCTCTCCCACTCGAGACGCACAATCACAAAACTTGTATATTAAAATATTGCTTCCGGAAGCGTATAAACCTTCATTAGAACATTCGTTGGCTCTCCTGTAAACCATGGCAATCGTCGACCGACCCATCTTCATTACCAAAGTTTGGGTCCGCGATGCCAAGGATACTCGGCCGTCGCGGCGCTCCGCACACGGAGCCCTTGCGAGAACCTCCATTTTCTGTTACACAATCCACGTGGGCAATATCCACACACTGAGATTACTTATAATTCCAGGAATTGTCAGATAAAATAATTTCAGGCGAAGTGGGGCGTAGTATTTACCCACAAAAGTGTGCCGGGGGTACTTTTCCCTACAGATGACGAGTTACGTTCGTAAGACGTGACGTGAAAAAAATAGCGTATTCAGAGTATCCACAACAATTCGTCAAGAAAACTCTTGGCTTCAATTTAATGTTTTCGCGTTTATCACAAACGAAAAACACATGCCTCTACATTCGACGGCTGAAAGACATTCCAGGTCCTCGTGTGGTGCCTACCGCTTCCATGGGAACTATTCAACGAATAAGTCCCTCGCGCTCCCCAGATATGACGACGAGATAGCCCTTAGCCATATCCCAGTCCTTGGTAGCTTGTAGCTTCAACTTGGCGCCTGTAGAAACTGCAGCTGGAGGATTTCAGCTCCTCAATTTCACACACTTCTCACATGCAGTACTCGTAACCGAACAGGACAGGAGATTGTAGGATTATGGCGTTGATTTGGTACACAAGGGACTGGGAATGTCTTTATTTTTTTCTTGTTATTGACTTAACTTAGACAACTTTTTCTCTATGATATGCTATTCAATAGTATTAGTTTTTAAGTGTTTTACAGTTCTGGATCAAAGATACATTTTTTAAATTACCCCCAAGTACGGTTGAAACGTCAAAATAAAATAAATGACAAATATAGAAGTAAGGAGTTTGTCATGTTATGTCAAAAATAAGTTTAAAAGTTGCAACTAAAATTTATCAAATATTAGATATTTTTACACACTGTCCCAAAATATGAACCAATTCTACCGTATAGTTCAAAAGATAATCACATTTGAAAACTTAGGAAAAGGATTTCATCCGACTATAAATAATTAAATTTGAAATACTTCTACATCAGATTACATGAGAGGAGAATGTCAAAAATGTATATTAAACCTTTCTAAAGATTTGATTCTAGAGAATTGGAATGAAAAGATTTTACCGTGTAGTTTGGACAAAAACACCAAAAGAAAATTACAACTGTCATCATTTATTCGTAAGAACGAAAAACCACGGCAACGTTGGATGATATACCACTCGGCGGGAATTTTAAATATTGATAATATATTATAATAAATGATGATAAAATGTTTTAATGGTGTACGTGGAAGATTGCCTTCTGGGCCTTTACCCTAACCTAATATGTAGCATTTTGCACGATTTTAACGTTCTACAAATTACCTATGAGCTTCCACGTACCAGTGAGGGAAATGAGTGTTGATTAATATGGTGTGGTCTTTTTGGTTTTTGTTTAATGAAGAAATAAAAGAAACGTGAGTATAGCCTACAGCAGCTAAGTAAGAACTTAGGTTATAAAAATGGCATACATCCTACAATTTTTAAAATGTATGTTTACATTATTTTATATTTTCTTACTTTTTATTAACTTAATTATTCATCTGGTTAAAGAATGTGCAAGCAGATTTAAAAATAGTAATAACACCTAGCAGACATCTTCACGCCAAATTTTTCTATATTGCATTTTATGACTTGTTAATTTTTGGTTTGTTGGGCAAACAAACAATTTTATTTACTAAACAAATATCCTGTGAACAATGTACTAGAAATCATTGACTTTTTCGCAAAATACCTAGATATCCTTCAAATAATACGTTACGACAACCATCAACAGGAAATCTTCGTCTGTAACGTTTTCTTCTCCGTTTTGTGGCTACTGACGAATTTGTTTTCCAGGATAACTTACTTTTTGTAACAAATAGCTCTTTATATCTTAACTGTTTGCTCATGACTTTCAGGTTATAAGACCCGATAAGACCTACAAAAACAGCTCATCTCAACTCAAACTACACACGCACTGTTCTCTAGCTGTTCTGTACGTCCTAGACCTTTCCGACAACGTAAACCATTGGTACCAATGTGATAATTATCAAGTGTTGCTGAGTTATTTGCTTGAAAGTTATCTGTACTTTGAAGGAGCTAATTGAGATCTAAATATATTATTCTTGAAAAAAAATGTACATAATATGTAAGAAATACCCTACTTATAACTGAAATTTGAATATAAGTACAGGCATACATAAACATACATTATGTCGGTATATTCAGTATTTCATGTTGGCATTTCGAGTCAAGTTAGGTTGTTAGATTGCATTTGCAAAATAATTAGCACTTTTTAATACATAACTTAATAAATACTCGTTTACTAATCGACGCAAAATACAGAAATAATTTACTTAATACTCGTTCTAATGTGTCATTAAATCTTACATAAAAATGGATGGTGGTATATATAAGAACGGTTAACTCCGACACCGTGTGACCGATCTCCATGAAAGGTGGCACATAATGTGTTTTCTCACCTAGAAATGTATGTATTAAGGCTGTATCTCCTAAACTATTCAAGCTAAAACGCTGAAACTTACACACCAGATAGTATGTACTCTACTCTTTAATTTAAGTCTTAAATGATGCTTTTTTTAAAATAATAACCGGCTTGAAAATGCAATATTTGTAACTGCGAGTTAATTTTGTTGTAACTCTTCTCCGTAGCGCTGCAGAACCAAATTTGACTTCCATTTTAATTCAATTTCCATTCAAATTGCGCTCCATCTGGGCTTTATTGTTGCTGAGCGTTGCAATGTGACGCAGAGCATGAGACTGATTTAGGTGTAGATTTATTTTGTAAAATAAAATAAATAAATAAACAGTAAAAACTGTATGTGACGTATGCAGGAGATGATCGTCTGCGCACGTTTTCTTGAGTTTCAGAATCCCTTACCAGTTTAACTATAAATAATTGAAATGCGAGTATAAATTAAAAATGAATAAATAAAAGTAAAAAATAAAAAGCGGGAGATTAGCAACATTAAAAAAGAGAAAAAACTAGACATTTTCGTTTCCGAGTTATAGAAAAATTTATTTACGACGGTATACGAACTGCAGATTTGATTTTCTGCATTGCTAACAAAATAGTAACTCGCCCTTACCTCTACATTTACCACTACAAGCAAAAAGGGAATTCAACAAAACGTGCGCATAGTGAAGTTACATTTATGTTCTGAAGCTTAACAATGGCCACCTCAGCATTCGCTAAATGTATCAGGGAAACTCTACAAAAACCTGGTCGAAATGGGGTTCATTGACCCGGAAGCTGAATAAGTTTTATTAAAAGCATATTGTCCTTTTTTTTAAAAAACATACAAAACAAATGTAAACTAATTCATTATATTTCGCTGTTTTGTTAAAATAAACATTATTTTTCTTTTTGATGATTGTATAGAAGCAGTTATGCAGCAGAAAATGTTTTATTTTTAACTTAAATTTGTACCGACTTCAATTGTTTAATGTCATCTGGCAATGCGTTGTAAAGTAACGTACATGTATGTTAATTTGGGAGTTGTTGATACTGACACTTAATGAATGTGATTTCTAAGACGTGTGTTGTAATTAGAAATATCAGTATTGCGCTGAAAATATGTTCCCGCCGTTAAGTACGTTTTGTCAAAAGTTACAGATTCTTAAATAAATAGGCAAAGCAATGGTAAAATTCCAAGCTCGATGAAAAGATGGTTGCATCTCGCGGATGGCATGTTTTCATTATTTGAATAGTTTTCTTTTGCAATCTAAAGGTCTGGGTACTACATGGTGAGGTTCCCCAGAATAGTATGCCAAATCTCTGGCGGGAATGCACATTTTGCAAAATAAACGCTATGAGCTGCATGAAGGCTGACAGAATTCTTAATGCGTAACAGAATGAACTTAATTTAGTTTTTAATTATTTTATGTGTACATTCCATTTAGTGTTTGAATTGAGAGACCTAAAAATTGTATTACCTTAATCTCGGCTAATTGCATAGTGTTCATTTTCAGTGGAGTATGCGATTGCTGATTTGAAATGCAAAACTGTTTTTTCCCCTCGTTAACTATTAATTAGTTGTTACAAAACCAATTTGAAACTTCTGTTATCGTACTATTTATTGTTTCTGTTTTGGAAAGAACATTCGTGTCATCGGAAAATAGAACTGTTCTTCCGTTTTTAATAGACGATGGCATATCGTTTACGTATAACAGGAAGATAGGACCTAAGATCGAAACCTTGCGGGACCCAAAATTCAATTGGGAAAGAATTGCAAAGACAGATAAGTTCTTACGCGTCAGTTAAGTAATTCTACTCTTTGGATAACCTTCAACATCGATCTCAATCTATATTAGGTGATACCACGAATTCCGTAAGAATGTAATTTTGATAGCAAGATGTCATGGTCAATAACGTCCAATGCTTTAGAAGGATCTAAAAGTATTCCAATGGGTGCTTCATTTCGATTCATTGATGAAGTAGTATCTTTAAGAAAAGAGAAAAATGACACTTTCGTAGATTTTGATTTTTTAAAACCTTGAGAGTCTGAAAAGTCTTCGTTTTCCCCGAGAAAAATTACCTTTCGCGCCTCTAATATTTTTAAAAAACTGACAAAAGAGAAATAGAAAATGTTGAGCAATTTAAGAATTGAACATGTGAGTTAACGGGTGTATAAATACATGTACACAAGTTTTTCAATAAACAATCCGGAAATTCATCTAAACCAGATGAATACTTATTTTTTAGTTTACTATTCTCAGGAATTCGTTAGAACTTTCGGAAATAGGCATCGTGTCGAACATTGTTTTTGGAAGGGAATGATATTAAATTTTGTGGTTTTCAGTCCCTTGTGAGTTCAGCCGCAATTCCAGAAACGTGTTGGTTGAAGAGATTTGCCATTTTTTCATGATTACTTGCTTCTCTTCTCTTTCATGGTCTTTTATTCTCTATTACGTAACGAGATGATGTGGTCGTATTGTTTACGATATTCCACATCGCTTTAGTTTTGTTACTAGCATTCAAAATATCTTCATTATTATTTTTCATAATTTACCATTCATTCATTCTCTCACTCTCTCTGCCTCTCTCACTCTGCCTCTCTCTCA